GCAGTGGGACATGGCCACTCGCTTCTTGTTTGGCGAAGTTACTTCTTTGGTGTAATCATCCCTTCCAGTTGAGCCTGAATAGGAAAACAAATATTAGAATATCAAGACAGGCAACACAGCCACCATCTAAAAGAAGACATTTTCTTGGATGTGTAATTATGGAACATTACCTTCAGCTGCTGGTTGGTTCTCTTCAGGAACTGAATCTCCTCAGCGTGCTTCTTCTCCTCAGCCTGTCGCCTGTCATTTTCCCTCTTTTCAATGTCGTCACATTTGGCCTTCTGTTCATTCAGTTGCCTCTTCAGGTCTTGTCTCTCATCCTCCAGATCAGCGATCTACGCACATAAGAAGACACACTAGTGAGTTTGGTTCCAGATGCAGGATCAATTATGTAAAGAACACCACCGCCATCCTTATTTTGAGATAACTCTTAAAGAGAAATGCTGCCCTCTGCTGGACATCTAACTGATTAACAGTCTATAACTCCATATCTATGGCTATAGATGAATGGAAAATTGTTGTAAGTCATAAAAGACGACTCGATGTGCTTACTTTTTTCTCCATGTCAGCCTTGCCCTGCTTAGCCTGCAGTGCTTTCCTCATTCCAAAAGCCACGCTGCTCTCGTACAGCATCTGGTAGGCGGTGATAGTCATTTGAATTTCTTCTCTAATGCGCCACAGCAGCAGACCCCTCTCGGCACAGTTGATGGTCACCTGTCTGATCAGCTCATCTTAAAGAAAGAAAATTAGCAGGCTTAGACAGTTGATGTTTGCAGAAATTATAATGTTTGTCCTATAGCTCTGTATTATTGTGTGTGTGTGTGTGTGTGCACCCATCAGCCAAAACATTAAAACCACTGACAGGTAAAGTTAATAACTGATCATCTTGTTACAAAGCATGTTCTGCTGGGAAACCTCGGGTCCTGGCATCTGTAACAGTGTTTGGGTGGGTGGTGTGCATCAAATGGCATCCTCATGACTCCAAGGAGCCAAGGTTTCCCAGCAGAACGCTGCGTTGTACCAAGATGATTGGATTAATGTGGATTGATGGACCTTTTTCCGAGCAGACATTCTGATGTGTCATAGTAGGAAAAGCACAGGTGAAACTGAAAACACAAACAGTGGCTTAGTTCCATTACATGTGCTAGTAAGCGATTCCAATGAGCCAGCATGAGCAATACCAGGACCTGCCCTAAAGGGAATGCACCTATCAATAACGTTATTAAATACATGTCAAAATGTCTGCCGAGCTGCCTCCTTACCAAAGCACTGGGAAAAGAGCTCCCTGCGAATGCGGCAGATTCCTGTTTCTCTGGCCTGTTTCTGCTGCAGCTTTGTGTCCAGCAGTTCCTCCAGGTAAATAACATCTGTTCTCGTACAAGGTGCACTGGACACTTTCTGCTCCCACAGCTGGTTTTCCTCCTTCCATTCCCTGCATTAGTAGACATTTAGATAAATTAGAGCATGGTCTCAACTCGAATAAAACATTGTTAATGTTAAGAGCTGCACCTCGGTGGAAAGATGGTGTTCAGGATCTCCTCATTTTCCTGCCTGATGCTGTCAGCAGTGGGTGACTTTGCTTTAGGAGGTGGTGGAACAGGGAGAGAGATAGCAGGCTGCTGATGGCTCACTCTCAAAGGGCGTCCCTGTAGGAGAAATTATTTTATGTACCACATTATATATCGCATGTACTAAACACCTTTTAATATACTGCTTGTAACTCCCTCATTAATAGACCTGTTCCTCACCCACACTGAACCATGTGTAAAAAGAGGACAGTAATAACGGCAGTAGTCCAGCATTGCAGATGTTGTAATGCTGATGTTGCCACAGACAGTGAAAGTAGCTGCTGCAATTTTAATGCTTGCATCATATGCATGCAATGAGTGCTTTAGCTTAACTAGTTTTTACCCTTATTTTCAGAGGTTACAGACTGTTGCTGCAATACACATATTAAGTGTATGTCTTTTAAATAAACATTAATGACTCAGGCTACCTTGTGCTTTTTCAGGCACTTGTCATTCAGACAAGTGAGCCCGTGTTTTATGTCTAGGAAGACAGGACTCGTCCAGAGCTAACAGTTAAGCAAATTCAGAGTTGTGCATGCTGTATGTGTCAAGGGTTTCAGTGACACAAGTTTAGGATGAAGTGACAGTAAATAGTGTGAACTCTACTACAGAAAATATGGTCCAGAAAAATCTTTGGGCGCAAAAGATTTAAATAGGTAGAGTCAGGTAATTTGGGTCAGTATTTTGGTAGAAAACCCACACAAAAAAAACCCACCTAAAATACTGTTACTATTAGAGTTTGTGATGTATCTGTGCTTAAGTAGAAGAAGAAGAAGAAGAAGAAGAAAAGAAATGTTTCACTCTGTTGTCATATACACACAGGCCTGAAATACACATCTGTGCACAAACAGGACCTATACATGCATTAAATTGAGAGACGGTGGAGAGGTGCCTTGCTCAATGGCACCTCAGCCATGCCCAGCTACCAGTCCGGATGGGGACTTGGGCTACTGACCCTCTGGGTCCCAACCCAGGTCCCTATGGACTGAGATACTGCTGCCCCCAAAATGATGAACATTTAGATAATAGCTGGGTATTATTGTCTAGATTTAAATATCTTACTGACTTAACGGTTACAAATGTGTTGGTGCACGTGTTTTTTTAGATGTCTCCGTAAAGAGTAATCCATAAAAACACAAAACTACATTTTTTTATGAAGTACCACAGCTGTGACTTCAGAAACTTAATATAAAGGAATAAAAGGAGACTAGAGAATTAATAATACTGGTAATATTGTTATTAGTATCACACACAATCTTTCCCTAATAGACTAGAAAAGGAACTGTTACTATCTAAGAGAAGAGCACTGTTGTGAGATAAATGTCTTTAAATATTTCCAAAATGAGAACAATAGAAGCATTGTATCCTGGTGCCTTGCTCAAGGGCACTTGCACCTCTCCAGCTGCCAGTCCACACTCCATACTTGGTCCATATGGGGACTTAAGCCAGTGACCCTCCAGTTTCTAACACAAGTCCTTATGGACTGAGCTACTGCCGCCCTATTTTCTATAAAGAAAATATGTTGTCAGGTGAAATATTTCAGAAACTTTTCTTTTTTCATTTTGATGACATGTTCAGGTAAAATGGGACATTCATATTTGTATTTTAAATGGTCAAGTCCATCCAGTTCAGTGATTAATTCATCAATCATTAATGCAGCCTAACTAATAATTAAGAAAGATCGTCCAACTTTTCTGCTGCATTTCCTGTCCTTTTGCTGCCTGCTTCTTTGGTGCCATGTTGTCCACAATGGATGTGTGTGTGTATGCTCACCTGATGTGTGTACCAGTTATGGCTAATTCTGGACCACTGTGTCAGAAATTGAGTCAGGGCATCAACTTTAATATTTTCAAGTGACAAAAAAAACATTAAACATTTCTGTAATATTACAGGGTGGCACACAATAGCTTAAGTTATAATTTTAAACCTGGTAGCCTAAAAAAATGCTAGTTTCAATCAAGAAAAATGTCCCATTTTAGCTTCTTTGTTTGTCCAGTTTTTACTGAATGCATGAACTACTCACTCAAAACCCTTTTCCCATGAAAAGTTTTGTGAAAATAATAGATAATAAACTGGAACATCCTACAACCATTTTTCTCATTATGACCTTATTGTTTTAGCTGCAGTAGCCTTCTCTTACTACCAAAAAATAATCTCAACATGCCACCGGTTTACCTTGTGAGTTCTGGGACTCAAAATCAGTCAACTAACTGCAATGGGTGGATTTAAAGGTCTGGACCAGAGGTGTCAAACATACGGCCTGGGGGCCCGCCAAAGGGTCCAATCTGGCCCACTGCATGACTTTTCACACCTGACATTGATGCACTTGTGAAGGCTAAGAGTGTTTAAACAGTGAGCAGTTACTTCATGTAAAATGCTGCCTCAGAGGCTTCTCCATCCTGATCAGAATACAGCTCTCTGAAATAACAATGAATACTTACGGTGGTCAGATTCAGAGATATTGATTGTGCAGCTTCTGTACAAAATAATCTGTATCAGACTTTTGTCTTGAAACAATATGGCATAGTGTAAAATTAGGAAAGAAATGCACATGTACTGACTTCTTTACACTAAAAAGGGGAAAAACCAGGAGGGGTTGTTATCAGTAGGTTATTAGCTATGTAATGGTCTTACTGGGCTGTATGTGGCCCCTGAACTAAAATGAGCATGACATCTGCATATGTAGTTAACGTTACATGTGTGTACACAATTTGTAAGTAATATTATCTTTGTGTTAATTTCCTGTGTTTCTCCTCCCTACCTGGCATCACTTTACTTTTCCACCCAGCGTTACTTTGGCCGGGTAACGTTAACTAAAGTCTGTTGGTGTTACTCAGTGAACTCACCTTTGGTGATTTTCCGTCTGTGGTTTTGCTGACCAACACTGGGTTGTCGTATTTCAGGAGAGACTCGGCCTGTGGAATCATCGTGTTTTAAGTATGAAAATAATAAAGCTAAACACTGAAAGCCAGAAACTTCTCGGTGTGGGGTTTCAGTTTATCGTCATGTTGTCATGGCAACAGTGTCCCGGCGTTCCGTTTTACTTTGTCCGTGTGGAATCTACAGTTAGGTTCATAACGGTAGGCAGGGTTATTTGCACAGACTGTATAAAATATTATTTGTGATTGCCTGTTCATCATTGGTGACCCTTTATTATAAATATAATAAAATCAACACAACAGAGGAGTTAGCATTCATACAGTTATGGTGCTGCTGGATTTTCACTTGGTTTGATTTTAATTTTGCGTCGTTTTTACGCCTTACAATGTGCCTTGAGTAACAGAAACAGGAAGGGATTGCTATAAAAAAAAATCTCGACAATTATAACAACTGCATTTATATTCAATCGTGAGAGACGTAGCCAAGCGGAACTAGACAGTTGGCAACGACCATTCCGACATAAATTCCCGGTGTACCGCAGGAAGCGGAAGTGACTAATTTGAGCATAACAATCGAAGTTTGTAATCGCAACGTTTTTGAGTTTGCTTTTGTTTTTTATACGCTTTTGGGGGAACGACGATGTGTGTTTAGTTACATAACGGCTGGATTACAATACAAATATTAGAATGACCAAAGAAAAGCGTCACAGGAGAAGAGAGTCACCGGAGCGCGAGCCCAAAGTTAAGGTAAAGCAGGAGCCAGTGAGCCCTGTTAGGCCACAGAGATCACGCCGCTCGAGGTCGAGATCCAGCGGCAACTCAAGTCCACAGAGGAGAAGAGCCAGCAGGTATTTTTAATATAGCCTTTATATTACTTCGCTTTTGTCCTGTGTTTGCCATAACAGTAACAAAATGACGTAACACGTTGGCCAATCGGTCCTTACAACGAAAGCATGTTTTTTTTCCGCTAGCCGTTAACAAACTTAGCTTAAGTCCACACACGCTACATCTAACTGGCAATAATTTGGCAGTTTGTAAATGTCTTTAAAAAGTCATTGAAGGGTTTCTTGTGTTCTTCATGTAACGTTAGGTCACCAGCCAGGACGAGGGACCGCTCACCAGCTAGAAGAGAGTCACCTCCCGCCAGACGAGCCAGCAGATCCCCCAGAAACAGAAGAAGTCGCACTCCTCCACTCCGTGGTGCTGATGTCAAAATAAAACGGGTGATTAGGATTAGGTTCTATATTATTTTTTTTTATAAAGATGCCATACAGCTTTAAAAGGGTAATTTGCTGTGGCATATTTGCTATAATAATAATAATAATATCCATTAATGAAGTGCTTTTCAAAACAGAGTTAAAACGTGAATTACATGTCAATAATTAAAACAGACAAGGCATTATAAAACATCTTGTAAAAGAACTGATAAAATCATATAAAAGACAGGCTAAATTAACTTAAAATTCCAGTAAAATCAGGAAAGGCTCTCCGATAAAATTATGTTTTAAGAAAGGACTTAAAAGAGATCACTGACATCGGACCTGTTCCAGAGCCTCAGGGCCCTGACAGGAAATACTCTGTCCCCTTTAGTTTTCAGCCAGGCCTCTGGAACAGACAAAAGACCTCTGGCTGAGGACCTCAAGGTACGTCCTGGTGTGTAAGGCTATAAGAGGTTGGAGATATAGCTGGGAAAGAGACCATGAAGAGCCTATAAAGTGATGTGATCTTGTCTCTTGGTTCTGGTTAAAAGCCTGGCAACTGAATTCTGTACAGTCAGGAGTCGATTAATAGATTTTTGATTCAGGGAAGAAAAGACACTGTTGCAGTAATCTAGGCTTGAAAAGATGAAGGTGCCACATAAAAAAGTTGAGGCCACCAGTGTTCATCAGACACCTCTTCTCCACAGCACACCGATTCTTACAGGCATATGACAGCACCTCTGGACTGGTATATGGTACTTGGAGGGTACACACCAGCCTTGGTTTCACTGACAGATACTAGTTCTCACAGGCAGACATCCAGTGGGACAGTGGTGCCGATTCACAACTTTGTAAAACAAATAAATAAATACCCATAAACAGCAGTTTAACAATTTAATGAATTTGTCATTCAGACTTGGTCTGAGTGGGACAGACTGTGCTTGCTATTTACAGAGCCAGTATGGCTACAGCTGGTCAGATAGCACAGTTTTCACCAAGGTATTAGTACAACAACTGCCTTTGAGAGGTAATAAGTGCAACAGTCTCATGATTCCTAGTTTTGAGACTAGGTGGAATGTTGTGGCTATTATTGTAACTACAGTAACTTACTATTTATAAGAGGCATATGTCAGTCAACAGTAGCATAACCATCAGTGTTATATGCTGGATACAACAATGGCATAACCATGGCCACTTTTCAGTCTTGTCGGTCTGACTGGGTGTAAGGCCCTGATCACACAGGACGCATTTTAGCAGCCTGAGGCGCCTTTCCGTAATTGTTTTTAATGAGAATGGAGCTTTTTGCTTGCGTTTTTGTGTTGCGACGCACGTCACGTTTCTGCACTCCAGGCGCCTTGGCGTTTTTGCCGGAGGGCTCTGAACTCCTCAAGTTGAAAAAACTCCAGCTCAGAGTGGAAAAACACTCCTTGTCATCACTTTTTTTCCCTTTGTCCAATCAGAGGATTAGAGAGGTGATGGGTCTTCTGTGGTGGTCACGACAACAAATTTACCGTTGGTAAACAATGAAGGGGAAACTGGTGGTAGCTGTTGCTATCCAGAGCTGTACGACCCGACTATAGACAGCAGGTTGTCAAACTGCCCCTGAGTCATCCTAAAATATGCCCAGAAACGAAATGGCCCACATTGAGGCAATGCTTCTGGACCAACTGGTGGTAATCCCCGTGATCCACTCTTTTTTTAGGGTCTCGTGTACACACACAGATCTCCGTTTCCCTGTGCCCAAAAAACAATTTGCTGATAGTCTCTCACCCTCAGCCAGACCAAGAGTGAGTACCCTCTGCCTGTCCATTTTAGGAACTACATATTAATAACTGTCAAATAACTAAAATGAATAAATAAACTGTAGATTGAATACACAGGAAGGTTAGTATAGGAAGGTGAGTCCGTGGTTGCCTGGCAATAATGAAATGGCGCAGCAAGTGTTTTTAATCATTAGTGGCATTCAGTAAAAAAGAAAAGGGGGGCAGTGAGGCGTGCCTCACATTTTCCAACCTGCAAAATGCTTTGTGTGATCAGGGCCTGATAGAATAAAATGTCTCCAATGATAATGTGTTTTTTGTCTTGGACTTATCATTTTTCTTTTACTGTCTTTTTACTAAAATTCTCAGGAGCGTGATGAGCATCGGTCTGGTGGCGATGAACGGAGGAGAAGAAACGACCAGCCAGAGGAGAGGCGGAGCAGGTGGGAATCAGACAGACCGCAGGAGAGAGACCGTGACAGACACAGAGAGCGAGGCGCACTCGCCTCTCAACAAGCTGAGAGACAGCAGCATGATGAGCGGCGCAGGGAAAACCGTCAGCGGCGCGAAGAAAACCAAGAGCAGGAATTTGGGCAGTCGGGAGGAGGGAGCGACAGCCCAAGTGCCCCGCCTGCTGAAAAGGAGAAACCCAACTTTGAACTGTCGGGGGCTCTGACAGAAGACACAAACACATTCCGGGGGGTGGTGATCAAGTACAACGAACCACCTGAGGCTCGCATTCCCAAGCGCAGATGGCGACTTTACCCCTTCAAGAATGATGAACCCCTCCCAGTCATGTACATTCACAGACAGAGTGCCTATTTGTTGGGGCGGCAGAGGAAAATTGCAGATATCCCCATTGACCACCCATCCTGCTCCAAGCAACATGCAGTGTTCCAGTACAGGTAGGAATAAAAATCATTAGCTAAGGTGTTTACTGTGCGGTAGAACTCTTTAACTTGAATCTGTATTATTTAGACTAACTCATTAAACTTTGATGATTTTGTTTCCTTTATTTTTCTGTAGACTGATGGAGTTTACACGGGCCGACGGCACCACCGGCCGCAGGGTGAGACCTTACATCATCGACCTGGGTTCCGGCAACGGCACCTACCTGAACAACCAGCGCATCGAAGCCCAGCGCTATTACGAACTCAAGGAAAAAGACGTTATCAAGTTCGGCTTCAGCAGCCGCGAATACGTCCTGCTGCACGAGTTCTCAGACACAAGCGAGGTGGACGCCAAGGTGGAAGAGGAAGAAGACGACGAGGGTCTCGATGAGTAAATTGTTCCCATAGACTGTATTGCCCAGTTTCATTCAGGTTAGATTACATCGTTATCAATGTTCAACACATAGTTGTATCTGCAGGGATTGGAACAATGAACTGACGTGGTAAACGTGGGACTTGATCACAATAAAGGAACAAGGCTGGTTTGTATATTCTGTAACTATTGCTTAAACCTGCCACAACTGTCTCAAGAAGACTTCCGATTCTCAGGTTGTTTGTGTAACGTCTGTGTGATGCATGACTGATCTCTAATTTACAGTATGAAGTGCTCAGTGCCAGATACAGATATCTCGCTAAACACAACAGTTTATTTTCTATTTTTGGATCACAGCACTGAGTACAAAGTTCAGCAGAATCTCTTTGTCGATGTCCAGGCTGTATGTGTCGGTGTACAATTCGTGGAATGTGAACTCAAGCATTTTAATTACATTACTTTTTTTTGTTTTTGCTTTTTAGTGCAAGAGAAAAAATAACCAATGCTGTTGTGTGTTTTCTTGCACCAATGTCATGTGTATTTGCAGATTTCCAATGATATTTTTGTTTGTTCTGAAGCCGACATAGGGACGATCATAAGAACCTGGTTTTAGGTGGATGTCCCCAGGTTTGGATTATTGTTTAAAGTACTCACTGACTGTAAAATGTTCTATCTTTTAAGTGCTTTTTGTCATTTATAGGGCATTACATGACAAATAAAATAGAGATCTGGCGACAGGTGAAGCAAAGCAAGGGATGAAACACATCTTCCTGTCCACCTGTCTCTCTGCAGCAGCTCTGATTTTAATTATTTTTGAGAAACAAATACTGGAGCTTAGTTTGTAATTCTATGCAAAAAGAGCACTGGAAAAAAAGTGGCATTACAGTGTGGCACTGAGGGTGGGTGGGACAAACCGCTACGTCCGTTTTCAACAGAAAACTAATGCAGCTGAATCATAGTTTTTGTACAGCAGAGGTCATGCGAGAGTCGAGGCCGTGTGGTGTTCAGTTTCACTCTCAGTGTCAGCAGGCGGAGCAGGGGAGGAGAGGAGGGCGGGTCCAGTGGAGAGGAGTACCGGGAATGATAGTGGATATACGCTGTGCGCGGGGGTGGCGACACACCTGGGGAATTACAAGAACAAGCAACCGTGCCGTTGCGTTTTTAATTGAAGCTGTCCCCACGAAGGTCATGCATTGAGTTGGAGCTGCGGAGCAAGGCGCAACATGTACACGACGGAGCGCAGGCGGATGAGCCTGCACGACATGAGGAGGAAAGATCCAGTCAGGGTGTCAGCTGGAAGTTTGTGGCAGGACGCTTTAGCCATGGAGCTGAGCGCCTCGGGTAAACCGATCGTCTCTCCACGGAGTCGCACCAGAGCTGTATCCGTGGCGTATATTGTCAACGAGGACGCATCGGTGCCGCAGACTGAGGGGAACTTATCCCTGAAATGTCTGAAGGAAGCCTGCGCGGACGCACACGCAGCTTTTAAAACTATTTCATTTGAGAGAATATCCCTGGGCACCACCGACATCCTGGATAGTTTCTACAATGCAGGCAAGTGTAGGCATGCTGGCCGCAGGGTCGCTGTCTCACACGCAGCGCTGCGCCAGTTACGCAAACTAACTAACTTCGCCCTGTTAAATTTCCCCCACAGATGTAGCAGTGGTGGAGATGAGTGACTCTTTTTGCCAGCCTTCCCTTTTCTATCACCTGGGAGTGAGGGAAAGTTTCAGCATGACCAATAACATAATCCTCTACTGTTACAAGCAAGATAGTGATCTACAGGCTATCAAGGTAACGTAAAGGGACAGTTCACCCCAAATTAAAAATATTGTCTTCCTCTCACCTGTAGTGCTGTTTATCATCTTAAATTGTTTTGGTGTGAGTGGCCAAGTGTTGGAGATATCAGCCATGGAGGTGTCTGCCTTCTCTCCAGTATAACATTTTACATTTGTAAAAACTCAACAGCAATGTCTCTTTCCAGAAATCATGACCCGGTTACACAAGATAATCCACAGACCTTGTTGTGAGCAATTTCATGTAGGAACTATTTTCTTTCTCCCAAGCTACATTCGCCTAAGTGCAGAGGGAAGCGTGCATCTACTCATGAGGTTCATCCCATGAATAGATGTCATCTCTTTCTCGCATCTTAGCTCAGCCTTCCCCTCAGACACGGGGGAGAGATGCGAGGATGAGGCAAGGAGAGAAGGAACGAGGAAATATGTCCTTAGAGAAATGAGACGTCTTTTCCTCTGAAGTGTATCATGATGACGGTGACAGCTGATTACTTCTGGATCAGCTGACAGGAGGCTTTATTAACAGCAACAGAAACTTTTAATGGGGTGTGTGTCTGCCCACACATAATGTTATACATAATGATAACGATACAGATACAGTTATCAGTAGCAGAGCAGCAGTGTTTTCTCTCTAACAATCACCCGCGTTCTGTATTTATAATATGGGCTATATCCTGCTCAGAGTCATAAAATGTGTTTATATGATTCAGGCCGTGGCGGTGAAGATTCTCAGTCATCCAGGTCATGGTAAACACAAGTGCCATAGCTTAGGCAACTGGACTTGCTCGTGTTTCTTGAAGACATTTCACCTCTCATCCAAGAGGCTCCTTCAGTTCTTATATGATTTAGGCTTTTTAATTATTTGCATCTGTATTTATTGATACTCTGATTGTGAATTCATTATTTAATAACCTTGAATATGGTTACGGTGTCTTTGAACACTGGAAATGATTCATTCATTTCATTTGGTAAAAAAAAGCAAAAGCTGCACTTGTGTATCCTCGCTTCCCTCCCCTCTGAAAGCCTTCTCTCTCTCCTTGACTCCTCGACTCCTCGGAGCACATTTTAACGAACTGAGACAACCTTTAAGATGGAAAGTCTCTGGGGCGTCGGTGGCTTGGTGGGTGGAGCAGGTGCCCCATGTGCAGGGCTGTTGCCGCGGCGGCCCAGGTTCAGCTCCAGCCTGTGGCCTTTTGCTGCGTGACGCTCCCCCCTCTCTCTCCCCCTTTCACACTTGGCTGTCCTATCAATTGGAGGCAAAAATAAGATGGTAAGTCTCAATCAGTTTCCAAGTCAAGTGATCGAGGATAGAGGAGTCGAGGATAGATATTAGAATGAACCCAAGGACAAGAGGCTCATTCTCGTGACAGCGTGAGATGTAAACACTGATGGCATCCTCCTCAGCTGAGCTGTAACGTTATTCAGCTCAGTGCTGCTAGGTGAGGTAGTAGAGGATGAACCCTTCCTACTGCATGGTGACACAGTTGGCAGGTGTAGTTCAGTAGAAAGAAAATAGTTCCTACATGAAAGTGCTCACAACAAAATCTGTGGATTATCTTGAGTAATCCGGTCATGCTTTCTGTAAAGAGACATTGCTGTTGAGTTTTTCAAATATATTTTTTTGGCACTCTGAGCACCACAGGCTGAGTCCCATCTAGTCCCATTATACTGGAGAGGAGGCAGACATCTCGACAGCTGATATCTCCAACACTCGGCCGCTCACACCAAAACAATTTAGATAAATTAAATAGCACTACAGATGTTAGGCAAAATGTGTATTTTTGATTTGGGGGTGGACTGTCCCTTTAAAAAGCAACACATAGTCCCACTTGTGTTTATGTTATGAATGAATGTGATAATTAAACTAGGATTGCAGCTATGGATTACAAACTGGGGGGCCCAGAAGTCAGGTACACTGTGTAAAACATGTTGTTTTAACTGAAAATATGTTGCAGAATACACACCATGTAAGATCAAAGAGAACTGATTTAAGAGGAAATTAAGGCAATCCTGCATAATTAACGAATCTGGGAAGTTAATTTTATTTCACCGCAGACCTCTGAACAAGTTTTGTCAGCATAGGGGTACTGGTTGTGTTTTGCAGCTCTGTTCAAAATGTACAGTTAAGATGCCATGTGTGTTGAGAGTGAGATGATGGAGCCAGTGCAGGCCCACAATTGATTTTTGCCCCAGGCCCTCTGGCAGTTAATCTGGCCATGGCTGCTGCTTTTCATCATTGATTAATCTGCTGATTATTTTCTTGAGTATTTGATTGATAGTTTGGTCTGTGAAGTGCTGGAAAATCTTAAAAAAAAAAAAAAAGCCCATTACTGTTTCCCAGATGTGAAGGTGACGTCAAATGATTTGTTCTGGGTTTAGTCCGTTTAGAGTTATGCGAAGCAGAGAACATAATTGGGAATCATTTTAGCTCTAAATAAAATAGTGTACATATCAGAGAGATTTAATTTGAAATCAGTAGCAAATCAGTTGTATTTATTCAAGAGTTTTTTTAAACATTAAGCATTAAAAGAAGGAATCCGAACAACTTGTAAATGCTGCCTCAGCTCCACTGAGGCTATTCAGGAGCTTTCAGTTCGCATGTGTTCCTGTTTGACATGTGCATTGTCTTCCCTCAGGAGCAGTGTGGCAGTTACACATTCATCCCTTACGTAGTGTCACCTCAGGGCAAAGTGTTTGCCTGTGACGCCACCATGATGACAGGTATCAAAGAGTTGATGCAGCCGAGTTTCCAGCTGGAGCCTCTGCTGACCCCGCTGGTGGAGAGACTGGTGCATCTGCTGAACAATGTGCACCTTCAGTCCAGGTCAGGCATAAACTGCAGGGCTTTGTTCACCACCGTGTGCTTTGCCAAAAAACATTATCATCTCAGATTACACATGCATTTGCTTATGCTATTACTCACGGCTTCCTCCGCGGTGGATGATTTATTGAAGATTGTGAAATTGTGGACTGTTATGACTCCTCCGCTCTTTGTGCTGACAGTGAGTACTTCCGGGAGTCAATCAGGCATGAGATCCGTATGGCACGGGAGCGGTTCAGCGGCAAAGCTCTTAGTGAAGAGTTGAGTCGCATCCAGAAACGCCTGGACAGTGTAGACCTTCTCACCCCTGATATCGTCATGAACCTGCTGTTGTCCTACAGGGACGTTCAGGTGTGTGTATGTCAATATGGAGTGTGTAAACAGTCATGGACAACAGCCAGCGGTTATTTGTTTTTAAAACTGTAAAAAAGGAACTAATAGGTTGCAGAGCCAACAATCGATTATCTTATCACATATTATTTGAGTAAAAAGCTAAAAAATAAAAAAAATAAATAAATAAAAATAAGTCTTTGTTTTGCTGGAATGTAAAAAAATATTTCCCATTTTTATTGAATTTATAAAAAACTCTATGGCTCAACCAATTGATAAATCTATTTAATTATTAAGCACAAAATATGCATTTTTAGTTGATATGAAAAAGCCTTTATTTCATTATGAAAATATGAATGTTAACAACATGAAGCAGACAAATTTTGGAGCCTGCAAAGCTCATGATAAAGCAACACCCAGGATGACATAGTAGCAAAAATGACCATTGAGATTGAAGTCATTATTGGTAATAAATGCTGTAATAATATGAATTATTAAAGGGGATCAGATGTGTGCACGGTAAATAATACATTGTAATTCTACACTCCTCTCTCAGGACTACGATGCCATAATCAAGCTGGTGGAGACTCTGAACGAGCTGCCCATGTGTATGGTGGCTAAACACCAGAATGTCAAGTTTAACTACATATTTGCTCTAAACAGGTACCCAGATATAAAGTGATGTGATTGAACTGTTGTTATCTCTCAGCCTGTAGCCTTTATTTGCCCTGCATGTACACAAGACAAAAAGGGTTTTTTCAAAGCTCGTCACTGCTGATGTTATCGACTCTTCCCTTGACAGGCGGAATCAGCCTGGAGATCGTGCAAAGGCTTTGGAGGTAATTCTGCCTATTGTGGAGCCAGGGGTCAAGGTGGCTTCAGATGTCTACTGCCTGTGTGGACGGATCTACAAAGACATGTTCATGAGCTCTGGGTTCACTGATCACAGCAGCAGAGACCAGGCCTGCTATTGGTACAAACACTTCCTGTTCATGGCTCTGGTCTTACAGACTGATCTACATGTCTTTTGCTTAGAGTACAGTTTCTCACTATAGATTCTACTTAAAGGTCCAGGGTGTAGGATTAAGGGGGGCATATTGGTAGAAACAGAATATGAGAATTGTTGTGTCTTCATTACCTCAGAATGAGCTGTTTATATCTACACACAGAGCGGGTCCTCTTCACAGGGTTCACCATGTTGTTTCTACAGTAGCCCAGTACGGACAAAACAAACATAAGCTCTAAATAGGGACAATCACATTTTCGTGTTGGCCACCATAGTTTTACAGCTTGTTTGGCACAGAGGAGAGGATTTAGTCGGTTGGAATCTGCAAGCTAAGTCCCAAGATGCCATTAATACCCTTTTTCCATTGACACTCTTGGCTGTGCCTAGTAAAGCCATTTCCATTGCCAGTTTAGACGCGCTGTGCCACGGCAACCCGCGCCGGAAATGGACCTTCTCTGGAGTAAGTCCAAACGCAGGGCCGCCCGCCCTCAAGCGGGTAACGGTGATGTCTTGCCAATTGCAGCCAACCGCCGCCGACCGCTGTTCTCCCTCCAAATATGTGTTTATATGTTGCTAGACTCTCCTCACCTCTGTCTGCAGGGAGACCAGAGAGAAAGACGTTTTTTAAAGTCTCTCTGTGTTTAGATTTCTTGCCTTTTGTAGCTTCTAACTGAATCACTGTGGTTTGGAGTTTAGTTTCTCTTTCTTTCTCAGTTTCTTTCTCTTTTTTTTTACTTTAGATATCTGCTTTATTTTACTGTATTCATGTTTGCTACCTGCCGTATTAGCTGTGTGAAGTTGCAGCTCAAAAAGTCAGCATTTCCTTATTTTGCGGGTTCATAATAAAAGTTTATACAAAACAAAATAACTTTTATTGTGAAGAATCTATAGGAAATGTGTTTATCACTGAATTAGTGGAACTTTATTAGCGGCTTTCATATTATAAAGACATGTCTAATAATACGGCAGGGAGGAAAGTGAAAGCAGAATCAGCCACAGTGAGATGCTGGTGGAGAGCTGCAGACACCTCTGCAAACAGCTCACCTCCAACAGGTAAACTTCTTTTACCTGCCCTGCTGTGGAAAAACACACGCAGCAATAATAACAGGGGACTTAAGCCTGAATCAGCACTCTGCTTTCAAACGTCATCACTCCAGACACGCCATCATCAGTTTAAGTTTAAGACACACCTTCAAAAAGGCAACTCTGTTGTAATGAAAATGCAAATCCCTGTCGTGCTGGGCTGACAGCCGAAACTAAGCCAAGCCAGCCCACGACTGTCTGACTGAAAGAGTATAAGTCCTGCATACTAGACCTTTCATAGTAGGTCTGCACAATATCATGTTTTTCTTTATATTCGTTAAGATGTCAACTTGCAGATGTCAATTTAACAAGCAATCTGTTGTATACTAGCAGGATAGTGAAGGCAGCAGAAAGGCAGAGCTGAACACACTTTGTCTGATTATTGATATTAAAGTAATATCATTACCGCGATATTCAAAGTTATTGCATATTTTCCTCTTATTGCGCAGCCATATTTGATTCTACTTTTTTAACTGTTGCTGCTTGTATGTGTTTGCAGTTATGTCGCATTATTATTCTGATGTTATTGATGTCCCCTGTCTCTCAGTGTGCCAGTATAATCCATCAGTGCTGTCTTTGTATTATTTGTCAGGTATGGGAGAGCTTTTGAGATGGAGCCAACTCTTCACTCCGGCATCAACAACGTGGTCCTCCTGATGGCAGCCGGCCATAAATTTGACACTTCAATTGAGCTGCGTAAAATAGGTGCCTCGTACTCTCTTCATCCGTTCTTCATCAGAGAAAATCAATGACAGATTTTCACTTTCATAATGTAGAGAGAATACAAATCTCTGCCAGAGGTCTACAGATTCAGTGTGTCAAAGTTTTTACTACTTATGCTTTACACTTTATAGTGTAGGGGTTTAAACCTTCGGCTTTGCAATGATGTAACCTGCAATTTAAATTTGTAAGCTTACATTCTGCTAGTGCATGACTTGTTGTTGATTAGTTGTTCACAGAGCCATCATCTGTTGATGCACATACTGATTTTATATGTGTTTGGTAACGATTTGTTTTGCTCCGTGTGGTTATGTTGGTATTCAGGTGTGACTCTCAGCACCCTGCTCGGTAGAAAGGGCAGCTTGGAGAAGATGAAGGACTACTGGGATGTCGGCTTCTACCTCGGAGCAAACATCCTCGCTAACGAACACAGAAAAGTCATCATGGCCTCTGATAAGCTCTACAGACTCAAAGCCCCTATCTGGTGAGGCTTAAAACAGTTGCTGGTTAATAGTAATGACGCAGATAAAGGTGTTTAATCATCATCAGGATTCAGTTTGCAGGGCATATTAGTTTAATTTGATTGGTTGATTTAAAAAATCAGAAACCTCTGTGGATAAGAGCACACAGTGGGATTCTGGCCTAATTTAAAGTCAGTCAGTCAATTTATTTGTCATGTGAGCACAGTGAAATGCAGTCCTTTGGTTTCCTCAATTTGTATAAATCAGTGTAATTCTAGTAAATGTATGTCTATAGGGTGTGGGGGTGTCTCAGGTGGAGTCGTCTTGTTGGAACCTTGTAGCCTGAGGGTAGAAGCTCTTCTTCCATATTATTTTAATGTGGATTAAAGGAGTAGTTCAGGTTTTTTAAAGTGCAGTTGAATGGGGTAATTATCCATGCCCCAGTTTGGAGAAGCAGGCTGAACATTGGAGCTGCTTATCTACCGCTGAAAACACACAGGTGCCACCATGGCATGGCATGTCATCAGATGTGCATCAAATGCCGCCCCTGGCACAAACTTGGACGTGTTGCGTTGCAGCTCAACAATAGACGACCATGCAAAGTTAGTACTACTTTAACTGAAAGATCTGTGCTTCCTCCATGGTTGCATTAGCTTAAAATCATGTGTGGACAGCACCTAATTAAACCTGATTCCTCACCTGAAGAGCCAATCTTGACTCACCAGGCAATATCTTTTTGGTCGTTGTCTTTATAGTGATGGGATTGTGGGTCGTTTAGCTCAGGATATTTCTTGACCTAAACAATGAGTCTCTCCTCATATGTTCTTTGTCACACACGAGACACAGCAACGGCAACAGAGTTCTCTGTGTATCAGTGGTGAGGAGAGGAATCAAGCTGCCATAGGAGCAGAGAAAAAGAAAAATGCATTTAATTCCAGGGGGAGCAAGGCTGGAAATAAGACAATGGTGTAAATTGCTGTGGGGCGGTGCATCCTGCTGCTGCCGGTGTGGGGTTGAACATTGAAAATAATAGGGGTGTATTTTTTGACGTGCATTGTTCGCCATCAGTGTGTGGGCCTTACTGCTGCTTTGATCAGTTAGTAAGTAACTAACCCTTTCAAACACCATACAATTACAAGCTAACAGATCGAGTCAGCAGTAGATTAGCTGCTCCTGTGTTCAGCAATATTAAATCACTGCTTAGCTTCCATGTGGGACTCCAGCCTGCCTCTCCAAACTGGGGGTGCACCAACTGACATCTACTGCCTGTAATATACTGTCTGTGGATAAGCACCCCATACAACCCCTCTTCAAAAAAATGTGAACCATCCCTTTAATGAGTTCAGTGTCTTTTTTTCAGGTATGTGGCATCCATAATGGAGACGTACATCCTGTACCGTCAATTTGCCAAGCTACCTGAGGTGAGATCGCCTAAACAGGACATTGTGGACTTCTGGATGGAGCTGCTTCTGCAGACGTGTAAACCCACTGACTCTACAGGCCGCTGCCCGGTAAGAAAACATTTCCACCCTTAACACTAACCTTAACAATAAACAGAAAACCACAAAATGACCATTTGTAATGAATAAGTCACACCATGTTACTTTGAATTTGAAAGAAGTTTTTTTTTCACGTGCTTTCACGGAAATTAAAAATTGATTTCTTGATTAATTATTTGGGGACCATGTGTAAAAACAGCAGAACTATATTAAAACATCTGTTTACAGACTCTCACAGAACTTGTGCAGTACAGTCTAAGTCTCATTTATCCAGTCGTATGCTCAGTACTTCCCAAACACATGCATTTCCGTCAAAACCTTGCTATTTAAAACTGAACTGGAAGTGAAACTCATTTATGCTCTCTTCAAAGCCGGACTCTAATACTAAGGTTTTTTAGTGAAAATGCATGTGCTTGGGAAAAAATGAGACTTTACTGTACAAGTTGTGTGAGAGTTTGTTAAAGGATGTTTTGATGTATAGATATTTGAGATATCTGCTGTTGTTAAAAGTGGTCCCCATCCATCAGCAAATCAGTTTGGTTGATTTACAGATGGTCATTTTGTGGGTGAAGTATTCTTTTAAAGCTTATATGCACTGCTGTAATTTAATATTTATTTATAATTACAATATGGGATAATATGTTCAGGAAATAATATAAAATCCAGCTAGTTTTGACCCTCCATTACAGATAAATAAAAGTCACGTAGCTGTTATGAAATACTGATGACAGGATTTGAATTTTCTGCGTTCAGGTGCTCATTCTGGAGCCCAGTAAAGTCCTCCAACCAGCTATTGTGTGTGTGAGTGAAGAGGACGAAAGTCGCACTGTCCAGTTGAAACATGTTACACCCTTAAAGGTATGTAGACCCTCTGCTGCCCCACCCACCCACCCTTGGACCCACTGTATTATCTGGCTGCATGTTTACCTGCCATAGGAACAGAATGCAGAATAAATTGCATCATGAAAGGAAGAAACTTCTCTCACACTGATTTCTTGTTCAGTGAATGTTTAATCAGGTGAGCGTGTGGGTGTGTTCTCTGAGCGTCACTGTGTGGGGGAAAAAAACTTCATACCTCAGGAGTGTTTACTTTCTCTCTTTTGCAAGTACACATTCATGCAAATCAAAGCTGGGTATTATCAACTGTCTGTATCCTGTGTTTTAACTTCTCCCTTGATTCCACAGAAAGGCTTACACCAGTGGACTTTCCCAGCCTCTGCAATTCGGGGAGTGAGGTAAAGTGGAGTACAGCATGTGCTAACATCTCTCAAATATCTGCTCCCAGTTCTGGGTGTGTTCAAGCCTGCAGCAAAGCTAGAAGACCCAAAACATACAGGTTGTCTAGGAGACCTTGGCTCCCGGTCAGATTTTTGTTCTGTCAGGATGGTTTCAGGCTTTGCCTCTTTGTTGTTTGCAGATTTCGTTGATTCCTCTCTCTTCCTCTGGCTACTGATCAGTGTTGCTGTGTACTTTAGCCCTGTTTTGTCTGCTGATTTGCCAGTTGGGCAATATTCAGCAAACACCCGAAAGTCAGTCGGCTACAGGAAAGAACAGAGAGCTTTATCAGACTGTGATGTGTTTGGGAAACGTCTTTTTTCTTTCTGCATTCACTGAATTAATCAATTTTCCTCAGCTTTGTTTACTTACAGCTGATACCCTTTGTAATGCAAACATTAGCCTTTGGTTCCTTAAGACAGAAAATCGGCTGATAGATACAGTCTGTTTTCATCCTGTGTTCTGCAGAAACCATTTACACAAGTTTTTGATGCTGTCATGCATATTCTCAACAAATAAACTAGAGATTCTGACCAAATCTTTATTTGCTTTTTTCCACTGAAGTGCGTCAAAGATTGATGAGCGGAGCTGCTTCCTGTATGTCCACTACAACTCAGATGACTTCCAGCTCTGCTTCCCCTCTGAGCTTCACTGTAAAGGGTGAGGGCAAAGAAACAGCTGGACAGTGTGTGTGTGTGTGTGTGTGTGTGTGTGTGTGTGTGTGTGCGTGTGTTTGCGTGTGTGTTTGCGTGTGAGGCAGTGTGAATAACTTGCTTACTCACCAACTGACTGGCTGAATGAGGATATTCAGATGTCCGACAAATAGATAAACTAGCTTTGCAGACTGAGTCTAGAAGGTGGCCTGAAGAAAAGGGCATGATGCAATTACACTAAATGAGTCATTATTTCCTTTATTGCCCTCTAGAAAGTTCCCCGGAGGCAGATGTTTTTTTTTCATGGTTACTTAAAGAGTCAGTTGACCCAAATCACAAAAAAAAATCATTTCCTATGGCATGTACCACTGCAGATCAATTTAGCTGAGAGATCCGCTGCTGAAAACTCTGCTGCCACCTTAACAGTGAACTCAGTTTTATGGTGCTTGAAGCACTCCTCCTAATGTCTCAGGAACTTTGAACTTCCTACCAAGGAAATAGAAGTGAAGCTGAAACACTGCCTGGTGACACACTTCTTTGGAAAAGTAGGGAAATATTGTAGGAAATGTTTTTTTGTGATTTTGAGTCAACTGATTCTTTGAAGGTGTCCTGTGGGCTTTTCTGGAAAACAAACAGAAGTGACGTTTAATTTAGGCGTTTCACAGCAATATGCACTCTGTGTGTCCTTGATGTCTAACTGTTGGCTGCATTGTCGTCCCCACAGAACATTTGCAAAACCAACTTTTAAAAAAAGGTTATAAATCTTGCATTGTATACATTCTATGGCTGCTGACTAAGAATTTTCCTCGTCAACCAATAGTCGTCATTTAGGGCCATTAGTCGATTATTCGCCCGCATGTTTCTGATTTAATGGAAGTATTAAATGATATATTTTGGGTGGGGCAACACAATGGTTTGAGTTGAAGGTGTGAGAAAGAATAGTATCAGTAACATTGTTAACACTGTGCTACATTACAGAGAAATACAAAACCATACTAATGAACCTTCATTAATATAGGCCTATATTTTATCTACAAGTGCACGTCACACACTGAGCGAGCCGCCTGTTGATGACGCTGTCGGCAAAGCAGTAATGATTGTGCTAAGTGGCTAATGGGCATGTAGCTACTGACATGTTTCAGATGATACGTCATGTTTGTGGTCGACCAATGAAGATGAGTTTACATATCACCTTGGGTTCGTCCTTCACCTTCTCAAAATGATCCCACACTTTGGATTTCCTGCCCGACGTGTTATTAACTAGCCTGTGGAATAATCTCAGGTACCAGCCCTGGAAGTTAGGGGCCGTACACATGCCATGTCTTTGACCGCCTGGAAAACACGAGGTCGGGCCCTCGGTGCTACTCTTGTGCCTTAGCTTTCAAGAGTGCGGCAGCAGGTTGAGTCTGAGGTTGTTAAGCAACCTTAACAAGCATCGTATAGCCTTTTTACCTGAAATCAAGAGTGCAGAGCTGATCTTCTTCCAGGCGCTGTTTATAAGTGTTTACGCCTATCGTCCATGGGACAGATGTAAAGCTCTGGGTAGCCCTGCACTAACATGATCAACTTTTCTGTGTTCATCACAGACTGAATATTCACAGAAGAAGGGAAAGATATCTGTCAGCTGTGATTGGTTTGTAATGTGACTCCTGTCTGACTGCTGAGTGTGGACACTCCCTGTGTCTGTGCTTTCAAATTAAATTCCCACATGGTGCAGTCACATGGGTTTTGATTTATTTTGACAAGACGCAGCTCCTAATAGAGTTCCTTTTTTTTTTTTTCTGCGACTAAGCGACCAATGAAATCTTGCTGACTAATGACCTTTATGGTCGACTAACGTTTCCTCGACTATTAGGGAGCCGTAGTACATTCGTGATTTGTTACCAGCAGTCCTCTTTTTTTACTGTCATTGATGCAGTGTCTCTTAGTGTATTACCAATGGCAACTGTTTTTCAGGGGAGTAGTTTGAAACCCCAATAGGACTGAGTATCTTGCTGCACCCATGCACGTCCATCTTCGCGTGCACTATATAAACAAAAAAGGCAGCCACTCGGAAAACATTGCACTGTGGTCAAACCTCCACTGTGAGCTCTGTTGAGTCTGTTCACAAAGATGATTTTGTCTTCCATGTGGTGGGTGTTTTCCTTTTATGGGTAAATTCTTTGGCAAAAGTCTACAGGCACGTTTGACATATTGTCTTCAGTGGAAATTTGCTGGAACTTTATTTGTTCCATGAAGCACACTATCTCATCTACATTAATGTCTCCTCACTCTGTTCTCTCACTAGTTTTTGCGAGCTGGTGAACTCTCTGCTGCAGCAGGCTGAACACCCTGCTCCTGACCTGAACCATGTAGCTGAGGGAGTACTAGAGGTCAGTCACAGTCTTCCATTCCTCTGACACAGAGTTTGCTCTATTTTAGGTCTCAGTTGCCTCAACAAGTAGGAAACAACTGCAGTTGCTGGGTGAAAATCAGATTCTCAAGAAGAGAAACATTCCCATAACATAGTGTCATATTTTCCATGTCATTTGGCATGGTGCGTGGTATCTGTTTGTGTAAAAATAATAAACACATCCATATTTAATTTTATATTTATTCTCAGAATTCTGGACTAATGATTTTATGTCAGAAGTCCCTGAATGAAACATCTGTTCTCTCCACTCTACCTGTCTCTCTCCTACTTGTGAAATTCCTCACAGTTCCTATGATGCTCATACTTTCAGTCAATGCATTTTCATTCATTCCCCTCCACAGTATGTCTACGAGACCAATGAAAATGGCGACAAGGTGGTTCTGGGTAAAGGAACGTACGGTGTCGTGTATGCTGGGAGGGATGTGAGCAACCAAGTTCGCATTGCCATCAAGGAAATTCCTGAGAAGGACAGCACGTATGAGAAACCAACACTTCCCATACTGGGAGACACTAAGCTGCACTGTTTCTGACAAGAATGTTTTTCCATAATAACCGTAATGGAAAGTGATTTGGCAGAGATAGCACCCATTGGCATGCTCTGGATCCCCAGTACTCTTCAGGAATCTTGGGGGAGATTGATGAGTGTTTAGGCTTTTCAGTCTTTGTTTGTTGCTCTGTAATCTGCACAAAGAGCCGAGGCTCACACTGCAGCACTATGTGAGAAGGAAGCATTCCATCAAAGGAAATGTGATATTTAAATCACTTTTTAAGCATTTACCAAACCTTGCCGTGTCCAAGACACAGCACAGGATTTATCTTTGCATTTGTCAAACTGTGTTGTTACCAGCAACAAACAATTACTCAAATTAAGAGTGTCAGATTAGTAGGTATTATAGTGATGATCCAGATGTACAACAACAAAATAGAGAAGATCCTGAACACTAAGCAAGACACAGGGACAGAGGGAGGAAGAACACGTTCAGTGTTGTGCAATAGCAACTGTCATGTGACATTTAGTGCTTTTATAAGCACTCCCTTCAACCATTTCATTTATATACTTCAAATGCAAACCTGAACATTGTTAGACTTTGCAACATTCTTTCTACCAACTATATACTAATGGAGATTTTTAAAAAAAAACTTATTAGACTAACAGTAAAAACTGCACATGTAGTTTATCATGCACAGTCAAGAGAATTTAGGTATGCATCCCACAGACATTTACCATGTTCTTTCTGACCAATATTAAACTGGTTTATTTGGAATTCAGAGGTTTGGAGACGCCAGGTAGAGTTTTATCCTGCATAAATTGTGTTTGTATGTATATTAGTGTGTGTGCTTGTCCATAATTTTTAATTTGTTTTAACTAGGGCTGTCAAAGTTACACGTTAATGATGTGGTAACGCAAATTCTTTTTAATGCCCCTTTTTTTTTTTTCTTTTTTCTTTTTTGTGATGGGCGATTAACACATGTGCCGTCTATAATTACGACCCTCGGCCCCACCTTGTAGTTTGGGAAATTAGAAAGCAATGCAACAGTAACGTGGATGGCAAGCAGAAACAAACCTGTGTGAGCAGAAATGGATAAAGACAGGTTTCTTTTGATGGCAAGTTCAGATTCAAAGCCCTGCCTGATGGTTCTCCCGACAAGACCAAAGTTATTTGCATTTTCCGTCAATGTGAATTGAGTTTCCACCGGAGTACTTCAGGCTGTTTAAAAACCAGGGAATGTTTAGTTAATCTTTACATGTGTAAAGTTGGACACTACAATGTGTCAGTATAACTAAGTAATGTTACATTCAGGTCAATATGTCGATCTGTTGTTGCTTGCTGGGCTTGAGTTTGTCATGATATGCTTTCAGCATATTTTTTGAGCATGCAGTACCTTTGACATTATTCTAGAGAATATTCTGGGCTGTATTTGTCATAGTTTTGAGTTGTTGCGATGATAATAAACATACATTTGCATAAATCAAGCATATTTGTCCACTCCCATGTTGATAGGAGTATAAAAAACTTGAAAAATATCCCTTCAAGTTACATTTCGAACAGATAAAAAATGTGCGATCAATCATGAGTTCACAATGGACAATCATGCCATTAATCGTAATTAAATATTTTCATTGATTGACACCCCTAGTTTTAAAGCAAAGATCTAGGCTATCATATGGGATGCTATTTTGCTGAACCTGTGAACTTACAATGACCTCACAGTCACATGTCTACTCCTCTGTCCCTCCCAGGTACTCCCAGCCCCTCCACGAAGAGATAGCTCTGCACAAGAGGCTCAAACACAGAAATATTGTCCAGTACCTGGGCTCTGTCAGTCAGGATGGTTTCATCAAGATCTTCATGGAGGAAGTACCTGGAGGTATGAATTCTAAAATTGTAACTTTTAATACATTAGCTCAAGCAGTAAAGTAACTGTTCATCACTGGACATTCTTAGACAAATCCACGTCCATACACTGGCTGTAAAACACATTAACTTGCTAATAAACAAGGTATTAAAAGTTGTTTCACTCCTCAAAATGTTACTGAAGTTCTTCAGTGACATCCACCCAAACACAGTCAGTAGCAGATTTTTAGTCTTAGTATTACTGGATTTTAGTGCTGCATATGACACAGATGACCTCATCATATTACTAGACTGACTGGAAATTGGGTGGGACTTTCTGGCACATTACTACTCCTACTTAAAGCCCCTACAAGGAACTTTCATTTTGAGTTGATTTTGGCGACCCTGTGGACAAAAGCGGTAGTGTTTTGCCGGAATGAAGCCTACATTTTCCATGAGCTCTAGCGCGTAAAGACACTTACCTGGCTCGTGCATGTGTTTGTTTTGGGGATGAATGAAACAACAAGACGGGAAAACTTTGCCCCCGCTCCTATCGGGGATCCCAGCTCACCTCTGCCGCGCCCCAGCTCCACCTCTCCAGCGTAAGCACCACTGCTGCCGGGGTAAACGCAGCGGTCGGCTGGTAAGGCTGAAGGCCTGTTTGGCGGGCACTTCCACGGCTTCTTGGACTGAGTATGGAGCTGTGCCTCGCCTCTTTATTTCTTGGCACTTGCTGGACCCTGTCGACGCCTGGCTGGTACCTGTCATCGGCCCGGATGAGGTGTTCCAGCCCCGTGGCCCCTGCTCTCCTCGTCCCCGCTGGCGCGGGGTGAATCTGCGCAACCTGCGGCCTCTGTCTGTGGCTCCCCGGACAGCTAAAGCTGTGGACTTGCCGGCTCCTGCCAGGATTGGGCTGGTAAATGCTAGATCGCTAGCGAACAAAACGTTTATCCTGAAGGATTTCCTGACTTCCCAAGGATTGGATTTTCTCTGTGTGACTGAGACGTGGTTGACTGTTGGTGAGTCCAGTGCTTTCACAGAACTTTTACCCGATGATTGCTGCTATTTTAACTCCCCGTGGACGTCGGGTCGAGGAGGAGGAATGGCAACTATTTATAAGAGTCAGGATTTCATTTCACTACTAGTAAAATGTAAGCAGCTAGGTAAAATGACGTGCGCCGTCTGATTGCCGTAAATCGCTTCGTCCCGGAAGCGACCTGGGACAGACCCGTACACAGTTTCCTAAAGGTATGGATATACACTATATAGAAATAGCTTATCTTCACACCGATTGTCTCATTTGCTGTTGTAGGTCACGCACAGACAACAGCAGAAACGAGAGACTTTTGCATATCCAGTTAAAAGTTCCTTGTAGTGGCTTTAAAGGATAGTGACTACTTTGTTTCTATAGAAAATAATACATCTGAAAGTACAACAATGACATTCGGAGTTCCACAAGGCTCCATTCTGGGGCCTCTTCTGTTTAATATCTACACGCTTCCACTTGCTCAGATTTTGAAAAAAAAAACAACAAAATAATGATAATAGTTATACATTTTATTTAAACAGTTTACAATTTGCATAACTATATCACCACAGGACTATGGTCCAATACAGTCTCTCACTGAGTGCAACAAACACATCAACGATTGGATTTGCCACAATTTTCCTCGATTAACAAAGGTAAAACTGAGGTCATTGTTTTTTGGAGGCAAGGAAGAATGATTAACACTCAGCGCTCAGCTTAAGATCATATCAAGGAAGACTTGTATATGTCTCAGCAGGCCTTGGAAAAACTTGTCCATGCATGTATTTTCATTTGATTTGATTACTGCAACAGTGTCTTTACAGGTCTCCCTAAAAAAGCGATTAAACTTAAAAACATTGTGTTAAAAAAAAATAAACCGTCTAGAATTGCCCGAGGGTGTCTAAAATTAGTTGTTGGCACATTCAAACAGAAAAACTTGAAGTCCAACTTCACCCAGTGTGACTGTTTTATTCTGTGCTTATTTTCATGCAATCACATCTGCTTATACAATTACTGATGCCTTTTCACTGTTATTTTACACAGAGACCTAGACTAATACATTTCTTTAGTAATGTTTTAATTTAATCTACAACCTAACAATTAAACACAGGCAAATTAGTATTAGGTTTCTAGATGTTCTTTGAAACTGGAATGGAAACAGACTTGCAAAGCAGACTTGCAAAGCAGTCATGCCTTGGTTCAATGGATGTGCCAACATGAGGAAGCCCTGCCCCTGCTTTCAAGTCTGCATTTCCGTAGTTACTGTGTGGCTCTGTTACAGGATGATGTCTTTAATAAGCATCAAGGAAGTCAGCGTCTGTCTTGTGTGCAGATTTGACAGTGCATCGGTGATTGTGTAACACATACTGGAAGCCAGTTTCAAGAAAGTGGGTGGTTCCACCATCCTGCTCATTGAAGAAAAATCTCTTCACACAATGGCATAGTTGTTGGAAAAAACGTATGAAGATACGCAAACAATTTCAGTCCATAGCTTGGTTTTTATTTTGCCACATGCCGCTAAGAAATAGCTTTTTCAAGAAAAGTTATGTTTTGTTCTGTTATGTTGTTATGTTGCAAGACATAACATTTTTCACAGCAGGATTCTGTTCTTAAAAATGAGAATTTGAAATGAAAAATAAAATCAGCTCATGTGATTTGACATTTACTGCTTGTAGGAAGTTTGTCATCCCTCCTGCGCTCCAAATGGGGTCCCCTGAAAGACAATGAGCCCACCATCATCTTCTACACCAAACAGATCCTGGAGGGGCTCAAATACCTTCATGACCATCAGATAGTCCACAGAGACATTAAGGTGAGCCGAGGGACAAATAGCAAATAATAAAAATTTCAGAATTATTTCATCCTAGTTTTTTGTTATAAGATAGTAGTCTGTGTGAAACATCTAACTGTGGGTTATTTGTCCTTGGTGCAGGGGGACAATGTATTGATCAACACCTATAGTGGAGTCTTAAAGATCTCTGACTTTGGAACCTCCAAACGGTTAGCAGGGATCAACCCCTGCACTGAAACATTTGCCGGTAAGATGCTGTGTATTTCAAAACTTGTATGACTCTTTATGTGTTATGTTATCAGGATGTTGTGTATTTTTATCTGCGAACTGATCACAGTAACTTCCTTTAATCACTTTTATGGTTATTTTCAAAAGGAACTCTCCAGTACATGGCTCCAGAGATTATAGACCAAGGGCCTCGGGGTTATGGGAAGCCGGCTGATATCTGGTCCCTAGGGTGCACTATTATAGAAATGGCAACAGGGAAAACACCCTTCCATGAGCTTGGAAGTCCTCAGGCAGCCATGTTCAAGGTAAGTCAGGGGAAGTTGTGTATGAGGCAATGACTGGTAACTTTTAATCTAGTGCCATCATCAGGTCACAATTTTAATTGGTCCAGGACTTTGAAAAGATCACCTGTTTTGTGTTTAGTGCTTATTGCCAACTGTCAGCTTGGGCCGTACAGAGTAGTTTGAAGGTTTGAAGGTTTGAAGCGTCATTTGTAACATTGACATTTGAATTTTAAATCAACATTCGAATACTGCGCAGTTTTGGTTTTTTTTTTACACATCTATTTATTCTGTTTAAACCTAGTATTTCTGCCCAGTTGCAGACAAAGATTAGGTAACACTAATATTATATGTAGAAAACTCCCTGTTATCCTTTAAGAACTCCATTTCCCAGTAGCCCTAGCTGGATTGTATGACACTATTCCGCTCAATTGCATTAGTCTGTTCCCACCTCCAAAGCAGTGAGCCACATGTGAGGATGAATCAGGTGTTGCACGTTTCCACCAGCCACTAGACACATCTTGTCCTTTACAATGTATCATTAGTATTCCTATATTTGTAGAATTAGATTCCAGCACTGGTTGTGTAGGAATGTGTCCGACCCATGTGGTTCAGACATTTCCAAAAACTCCAGTCCAAAAGACCTATATCTAAAGAAATATTCTGCTTTAATTCAATTAAATTTTATGTATAAAGCCCAGTATCACAAATCACAGTTTGCCTCAGAGGGCTTTACAGCATACGACATCCCTCTGTCCTGGGACCCTCACAGCACATAAGGGAAAACTCAACCCAAAAAAAACCTTTAACAGGGGAAAAAATGGTAGAAACCTCAGGAAGAGCAACTGAGGAGGGATCCCTCTTCTAGGACAGACAGACGTGCAATAGATGTCGTGTGTACAGAACAGATCAGCATAATTAATGTACAGTGATCCATATGTATTTGCATTAAACCATTCAAAAGCAATAGTTTCACTGCAGTCAAACAACTGTTTCAACGGTCAGCGGTCTAGCAGTATAACTGCACCATAATTTACATTTATACAACCACAGTAACAAAAGAATCTAACAGCTCTAACACTATTATAGTAAATTAGTTAAATCATTTGCTTGCCTCTCAGGACTCCATGTCATGATGTCATCACTCATTTAATCCAAAAAAATCACTTTATTTGAAATTGAGGATTTTGTTCGAGGATTTGAGGAAAAAAACTTAGGTGATGACATCATAAAAAATGACATTCCATATAGCCCTAACATTTGCATGCCAACACATTGAACTAAGAAGGTGACTAAGGTAAACATTAGCATGATAGCATGCTGATGTTACCTTTAGTAAGCACTACTGCCCAAAGCTGTATCACATGAGATGACTGGTAGAGATCAGATTCCCATGTTAACAATCTCCACCATCATTTCCACTGAATTCGATTTGATTATATCGCATGAATGACGGTCTTTGTCTGATGCAATATTTAATACATATTTGGTTTAAGGCACTTCCACGTTAGGCACTGCCAAGTTGGATAAATCGGAGCTTTCATAAAAATCAGTCTCACAGTCTTCATTACAACTTGGAGACTGATATGAGGGCTATTTAAAAATCAGAAAATCGTAATCACCATAACATGAACGCAGCACCAGAACAGCCTCACATGCACCTGTAGACTCCTGCTGAACAAATCTAAGCAACGTCTGTCTTTTCTCTTTTAAAACACACAGTCTCAAAGTTAAGTTGCTTATATGAACAATAACAGTTTCTTTTTAACAATCCCATCCAGGTGGGCATGTTCAAGATCCACCCCAAGGTCCCAGAGTGCATGTCGGACAAGGCGAAGGGCTTCATCATGAACTGTTTTGTCCCTGAGCCTGACGACAGAGCCACAGCCGCAGAGCTGCTGAAGAACCCTTTCCTCAGGTCGTCCCCCAGGAAGAAGGCCAAGGCTCCGCCGGAAGTAGAATCTAAAGACCTTTCTGCAGGTGAGGCTTTAGTAGAGTTCAGATTCACATACTGCTCTTCTTTCTCACATATGTTGTCAGTTTTTCATCAGCCAGTGTGTCAAAATTACCTTTTGCTCCAGTTACAACATCTAAGGTAGTCAAGTCATCTCCCTCCTTTGCGTCAGGATGACATCTCTGACCATCATTTTTATTTCTCTTGTAATGTTTCATCTTGTTCTGTCACATTTCTTTTTAACTGTTGAGCACATGTTGTGGCACGTGTGTCAAGTGTTGTGATCAAACCTAGTTGATAGAAATTTGGATAGCTCACTCTTATCTAACCACTATCTCGCAGCCGACTACCAACGCAGCCTGTCTGTGCCGATCTCCATCCTCGTCGAGGACACTGATTCGGACTCGGGTTCGATCGACCTGTCCTGTTCCCTGGACCTGAGGAGGGTCCAGAGCAGCCTCATAGAAGATGAAATCTCAGAGAGCCCAACCGGCACCAACAGCTTCCTGCCGTGAGTTAAATTATTACGCAACAGACGATAAAAAACGTATCATTTCTGCATCAGCCATGGTTCTACAGAGTCTTACATCAAAGGCAAACTGCATAGAGGTTTCAGTTACATAGTCTTGTCAGGCTACATCCTGTGGAAGGAGCTTAATGCCACTGTATTAAATGCCACAGTCTACAGACAGCCATGCATTACTCACTGGATGAATCATTGATGTCCGCATCTTCATTTCTTTTCTGTGGGATTTACATTTCTGTAGATGCATCGCTTTTTTGTGATTGGCATTTTACCAGAGGACTATGACATTAACTAGTAAAAGAGAAAAATCTAAATACAGGTAAAATAAGAGTAGCAAAGAGGCTGTGTTGTAACTGGGACAAAGTCAGCAAATGCATGCATGTGTGTGTGTACATATGCAGAAAAGAGCTTAGCCATGCTTTTGTCTTCAAATTCCCATTCTATCCTGCCAATCAGAGAAAAGGATAGCCATTTATAAGCTGCCACCTTAGCAAGCAGATGATGCCAGTCTGTTATTGAAGATGTGTGAGCTGACTTCTGTTGTTGGACGAACAGGCTCCTACCCAATGTAATAGTGCCGTGGACCCATTCAGCATGGATCGAAGGAATTGTATCTTTCAAGGTGGACGAGCAGACGCACAGAGAGAGCGTAGCAGCACAGTGTGTTTACAGTTCAGGCTACTTGTCAGTGATTAAATGCTACAACTCAAGACCCATGACAAGTTCCTGTGTCTCGCTGGTCACCTGCTGATTAAAGTGAAGAGGGTTAGCCCTGAAGTTAGCGAGCAAAGTTAGCCTCCCATTGGAACCTGACCAGGTTCACTCACGGTGACTGTTGAAAACTGTAAAGCTTCCTGGTGTAAAGGCAAACCTTTCGATTAACTGGTCCATCTATGTCCCATCCCTCACCTATGGTCATGAGCTCTGGGGAATGACCGAAAGAATGAGATCACAGATACAAGCGGCCAAAATGAGTTTCCTCCGTGGGGTGGCTCAGCCTTAGAGTTAGGGTTAGGAGTTCTGACTTTTGGAGGGAGCTCAGAGTAGAGCCGCTGCTCCTTCGCGTCAAAAGGGGTCAGTTGAGGTGGTTCAACCATCTGATCAGGATGCCTTCTGAGCGCCTCCTGTTAGAGGTGTTTCGGGTACGTCCCACTGGTAGGAGGCCCCTGGGAAGACCCAGAACATGCTGGAGGGATTACATATCTCATCTGGCCTAAGAGCGCCTTGGGGTACTCCAGGAGGTGCTGGAAAGTGCTGCTGGTTAGAGGGATGTCTGGGGTGCTTTGCTTGGCCTGCTGCCCCGAGACCCGACTTCGGATAAGTGGTTGAAAATGGATGGATGGATGAAGAGTTAATATATTGTTCCAAGTCAAAATTTGGAATTAAAAAAGCTGTTGTTTAATGTTGTTGACCATCGTTTCATGTACCCAGAATGCCTTTTAATGGGGGCACAGGGGGAGTGTAGGCGGGGAGCCTCAATGGGCTTCTTTGCTAGGGCCCCCCAAAGACTAGGATCACAACTGTGTACGAACCTCCCTACAGAAGAAAACAAGTGGAAAAGTGGACTTCCTGACCAACAATTCTCTGGATGCAATTGTCCAAAAATCACTTACTTTGAGGCAATACCACAGGACATGGGTCCTCATTAGGGCACCTCCAGCAACCGGTGTCACCTTTAAATACAATCTAGAGTGCACTTGTTTTTTATCTTCATTTGTTAATCTGGTGTAATTGATGTCTTTGTTGCCCCCTACTGTCCAGAGTACCAGAGGACTCTTCAGACATGAGCAGTCCAGTCTCAACAGAGGAGAATATTGGTCTGTTTATGCTGAGAAAGGACAGCGAAAGGAGAGCCACGCTGCACCGTGTCCTCACCGACTACATCAGCAACGTCGTCTTTAATATACAGGAATCTGTGCCTCAGGTGGGTGAAGAAAGTCACAGCAACACAAGTCAAAACGTTGTGAAATCTGTTAACTGCATGTCTTTCTATACAACATAACACTACATAGGATTGCAGCCCTTGTCTCTGGTTAGGCTTTTACATTCAAATTTAAACAATTAAACAACTTCTAAAGACAGATTCAGAATACAAATAGCCGAGCAGGTCTTTGAGTTAGACAGATTACTGGTCCACCAATAATTATTGGGTAGTTTTATGTCACATAGTTTTTCAGAATTGGAGGAGTTTGGCTAATAGGCAAAGACTTTATGCGCGAATGACCATGTATGTACATAATAAGCCCTGAATGTGTGTATTCCATCTTAGTTTGACATTGCACAAATTGTCCTGACATGTTTATGCACCGTTGACATTGCCAAATATCCAAAATATGAACCAACAGCAACATGACAAGACTGCAGTGGGTGTAGTTAATAATCAAGTTGACTTGCAAGTTAATAATTGTGAGCCTAAGGGCGTTTCTGTCATCTTATCCTACACTGAATTTGGTGTTTGTTTTCCACTTAAAAGCTGTTATGGCTTATGCATGAAGTAGCTCAGTCCATAGGGACTTGGGTTGGGAACCGGAGGGTCACCTGTTTGAGTCCCCGTCTGGACCAAAATATGGAGCGTGGACTGGTGGCTGGAGAGGTGCCAGTTCACCTCCTGGGCACTGCCGAGGTGCCCTTGAGCAAGGCACCGAACCCCCTAACTGCTCGGGGCGCCTCACCAAGGGCAGCTCCCTCACTCTGACATCTCTCCACTTTGTGCATGTATAGGTCCTGTTTGTGCATGTGTGTGTCTTTCGGACCTGTGTGTAATTGACGAGCAAGAGTGAAAACATTGAATTTCCCCTCAGGGGGATTAATAAAGTAAATAAACTTAAACTTAAAACTTAAAGCATTTCCCCCAGAACAAATACAGCAAGTAAATGAATAAATAAATTGTAAGAACAATAGTCAATAAACAGATACAATACACACAAGAGGGCGGGATTGCTTCTTCTTTTAATTTAGTTGTCATTTGAAATGTTACAAACAATGCATTTTGCCCATGGCTACATCAGGTTGGGCGAAATATGTTTGGGGCATGCGCTTTTTAAATAAATTATAAGCTTTAGCAGTTTCTCACCAATTCATTTGATGTCAAACGGTAATGTAAAATTATATATTTGTTCTGTGTAAAGCATGATTTATAGAAGAAGATAAAAGATAAGCTTTTATTAATCCCAGAGGGGAATTTTTTCAAGCTGTTGTCATACACACAGGCCCGAAATATACACACATGCTCAAACAGGACCTATACATGCATTAAATAGAGAGATGTCAGAGTGAGGGGGCTGCCTTGGACAGGCGCTCAAGCATTTGGGGTTTGGTGCCTTGTTAGTGGCACTCCATATTTGGTCCGGACAGGGACTTGAGCTGCCGACCCTCTGGTTCCCAACCCAGGTCCCTCTGGGCTGAGCTACTGCTGCCCCCAAAATGAAGAAGAAGAAGTAAGAATTTATTTCGGTCTGCATATAGAAATAAGAACATCATGTATTAATCTACAAATTGATGTAAATAAAGTCACAGCCTCTCACAGAAAATGGCAGATACTTAAATAGTACAGTGCAAAACATTACAATAAAGTCATTTAACATAACGTAGACACTTCTGCGGTCTGAAAAAGGTGCAGGCTGAAGCCGCAGCTTATAACACTGACGCTTTTAACAACATATCATATTTAGCAATCAACAACAAAACAAACTAAAACAGGCGCAAACAAGGCACAATAGCAACAAAAAAGGCAACTTACACACTTTAAGTTCCTGTACGCTGTTCTTCTACGTTAGTATTACAGTCTGATCATCCATTTTCATATTTGATTAATACAAATTTATATATCATTCTGACTTAACAGTTAAATTTTTTTTGGTGTTTCAGTAAAGACTAATGCATAAAAACATAAAACTGCACTGTTTTCAATAATGTACCACAGCTATGACTTCAGAAGCTCAATATATATCTTCTCTTTTAAAAGCACGGAGAGGGATCATCGCTAACTGCAGAGCACATCACTGAGCTCATTAGCTGCCTGCGAGAAAACATCCGCTCCCCAGACAAGAAGCAGCTGACCAGTAGCTTGCTGGAACTTCGAGCCAAGATGGTTACTGCTGCAGTGTCAATGAACAGCCTGCAGGCGGTGCTGTTTAGCTTCCAAGATGCAGTAAGTTACTTCAGAGTGGACACAGATTTTCCTGTTACTGTCAGCAATAGGATTGGTGAGACTTTTGGGGGCTGAACATGACTCCTCTGCTCTGTGTGTATAGGTGAAGAAGGTGTTGAGGCAACAACAAGTGAAACCTCACTGGATGTTTGCTCTGGACAATCTGCTGAGACAGGCAGTACAGGACGCCCTCACTGTGCTCCTACCAGGTAGAGCTTTATTTCACACAGTATAAGTTTCAGAATTTGGGATACCTGTTGTTTATTTATTCATTCTCTCTGCTTTTTCCGTTCATCCCCACCACTCCACTCCCAGAGCTGAAGCTCCAGCTGCAGTCCTCATTTGAGATTGAAGACAGCACTCCTGAGGAGCAATGCGCCGACCCAGACACTCCTGTAGTTATTGCCCCTAACCTAATGTTGGCGCCAGCAGACACGCAGCAGACAACACCCACACAGGAGTTTCAGCCGACAGTGAGCCCCAACTCCCCTACAGACCTCGTCCTCAACAGCAGCTGTCCCCTCAGCGAGAAACTGAGAGACCTGCGACTGGAGACCAGCAGGTAACATTCAGGTGTTTTCTGTTTATGATGCATGCTGCATTTATTTTTGAGACATTTTGCATCAGTTTGCATTATTGCCATGCCTGTTAAGTGTTAAGCTTTCAAGGCCTCATGAACTGATATTTGGATTTTAAATGAAATGTCTTCACAGTGGAAAATTACAAGCTGGCACTGGCATCTCTCCATTAAGATTTTTTATGTTGCACTGCTTTCTGCTGAGTGATGATCGATGTTTGTGTTGCAGACTGTTGACTCTGCTGAATGAGAAGGAGAGGGAGTACCAGGAGCTGCTGAGGAACTCTGTCCAGAAGAAGCAGGAAATGATAGATGCACTACGGAAAGCTGCAGTAGCTGAAGGTAATGTTTACTCAACCAAATAGTCTGTTACATCCACGTAGATAGCACATTAACTTTGCTGTCTGCGTGGTAGAGTTTGGTTGTGTGTTTAAGAATTGTCTTATAGTAGATTTTTTTGAAGCACAGTTGAGATACTGTAGTTTTAGATAAATCATTAAAGAAGTATAACTTTAAATAATTATATGTCATACGTATGTTGAGAGAGTTATGGGTCAAGGAGAGGAGGTAGTGCAACTACATGGTGGGAAACCTCCACATTTCTTGTACTGTGCAAAAATAGAAGTTAGCCAGAGTTAAGTGGGATTTATACATGTGCGTCAGCTCTATGCACAACGTAAGCTATAGCCTACACACGTGGTCTACACTGTTGTGAGCATTTACAGTTGTGCGTTGGCGTGTCTATGTCACTCTGCAGTTACACCTCCAAAACACTAGTCGGCGGTGGTTTCAATGAAGTGCTGTTAAGTTTAGTTGAGTCAAAACACACATTAAACATGGCTTAATAGAGACCATTTCAAGCACAAGTACACAAATCAACTTCACTATAACTCACAGCATTCACAGACAAAGCATTTGTCTTTTGCTGGACACATTTTCCCCACAAATACAACATGCTAATGTTTTTAGCACAAGCCTATGGCATTTTACAGTGTATAAATTAGCCTAGCAGCTAGCAGACTTTTCTTCTACTCATATGAAGCCAGGGACAACAGCAACATTTAACAAAGGTAATGTTACAAAATTTAGCTCCATTACAACTCACAAGGTTCACCGACAAAACAACTGTCTTATACTGAATACGTTTTCCAAACAAATGCAGCATGCTAACGTTATTAGCATAAGCCTATGATGTTTTACATTGTATAAATTAGCCTAGCAACTAGTAGAGATTTCCTCTACTCATATGAAGCCAGGATAAATGACACACAAGACTTAAAATGCTATTTTTGTACAGGCTTTATTGTCTTCACAAATTATTGCTTCTTATCTGTGAAATTAAATTAAATAAAAGCTTCGTTTCCACTGAGGGAAATGGTTTTAGCTTACAAAAACAATGTGAGGCTTGAGGTAGTGCCGGCCCATGGCATGGGTAGTATAGGCGAATGCTAAGGGCGCTGTCATCCATAGGGGGCACCACAAATGGGGGAAGAAAAAAAAAATTTGATGCATTAGCTTTATTGCCCCAGTATGTGTACACATGAATGTGTTGCTCTCAATTTTCTCACACAGTTACAATTTGTGAAGATAGACAGAATAGACAGACTGCTTTGTTGCTACTAAAACAGGCTTGAACAAAAATCTGGTGTTGTCCTTTTAATGGTTGTCACGTAGTCTTCTCAAAATGTCTTTCTGTCGGTAGCTTTGAGTTTAGTCAGTCGAAACCTAACCACCCTGTACTCGGAGCAGCTTAAAACAAACATTCAAGAACATTTGCTAATTCTGTTTGATCAGAGTCAGGCGTCATCATGAAAGTGAGTGCTGCTTATGATTCCCACAGTTTGTAATGTTTGCTGAAAAAACATACCAAATTAAAGTGGAGGATATCCAGTACAAGCTGATTGATGATATTGCTATTTAATGTATCTAAAGTTGTTTGCCAATAACGCGAGGAGTGTGCCATATGAACCATCTCGGACTCTGAGGACCTCAGGGACCGGCCTCCTGCTGGTGCCCAGAGTCAGGACTAAACATGGGGAATCAGGATTCCAGTTTTATGCAGCCAAAATCTGGAACAGTCTTTCTGAAGATGTGAGACAGGCCTCTACTCTGACAATGTTCAAATCTAGGCTCAAAACAGCTCTATTTCACTGTGCATATGACTGAAAGGATCGTATCTGCACTCTTCTCTTTTAAAGTTCATTTTATGATGATTATTTATGTTTTTATTTTGTATTGTGATTTTAACGCATTTTCTTGTTCTGTAAAGCACTTTGAATTGCTTTGTGTACGAATTGTGCTCTACAAATAAACTTAACTTGCCTTGCCTTGCCTTGCCTTGCCTTGCCATCATCGAAGCCAGTGGTTCAGCCACAGGGTCCAGATTTCTCCGAAGTCATTAGTTCAAGGTCCACAAAGTGTAATATATTCAGTGTCATACTTGCATTTGGCCATGCCTCAAGTCTCGTTATTCACTCACGCTACAGCAGGAAATGGCACTTTAAAATAAAAGTTCTGTGCTGAAAACACACTGTGCTTCAAAATAAAGTGTGTTTTTTACAAAGTTGATACGTTAGTAAGTCACTTGCGGTCCATTGAAAATGGGCCCGTGACCCACTTTTGGACTGCGACCCACCAGTTGGGAACCACTGATCTCATAGTCCAATGATTAACCGCACATGCTGCAGCATGATCTGTACTGCATCAAGGGACCAAGCCCTGTTTGGATTATCAATACACTCAGTGATTCTCGTCACTGTTTCTTAACACTTGTACCAGTCAGTCTCTTCCACGCCTCAGCCTCAGGCTCCGGATTTCTGCCTGACTGGTTCTTGTCAAAGGTGTACCCCAGCACATCATCAGCTAATCTGCTGAAACTTGACTTTTCAGTTTGGATAATGATTATACAGTCTGCCTGCGGAAACATGCTAAGTGTTTTTGCTGTAACATTAACACAGTAAAACACAGCCGACAGTCTGAATGGTTGTAATCTCTGTACTTTATAGATGGTGGATCGGCTTCACAGAAACACTCTAATCCGGAAGTGAAGTCTTTGGTGCGCTGGCTCAAGTCTGTTCCTGTAGATCAAGACACCATCGATAAGGTAAACTCAACTAAAGCTCAGCCCTTTCCTTTGTTTTTTTACTCTGGAGGCTGTTTGGTATTACTCATCTGCCCACTGTTAATCCAAACCTGTGTGATCCTGTTTTCTAGTTGCTCTATCACGAGTTCACCTTGGACTGTCTCTTCTACATGGCCTCCAGGGATGACTTGATGTACTGTGGAATAAGGTGAGCTGCCTCCACACATCACCGTCACACCATCTGTCCATGCAGAAACATAAGAGGGGAGTGCCCTCGCTCAGAGAGGGTTGTGTAGAAAAGATGCAGTCTGCCTCGTTAGTTTGACTTTTATCAAAATAAGAAAAAGCCCCAGTGGTGTTTGAGATGGCTCGTTTGCAACCCTGTATTCAAAGCTGTCCAAAATTGCTGTTTCAGAGGTGGCATGCTGTGTCGAATCTGGGCAGCCATCGCAGCTCGCCGGAAGGCCCAGCTCAGCACACACAATGAGGACAGCGAGGACACTCCTCTTTAATGGCTGCTGATGTTGTACATCAAAGGACAGATTTATTGACAGGCTGGTCCTGTTTCATCTGGAGGAAATGAGGCAGTGGTGAACGTATCTGTCTCTGAAGGGAACTGATGCAAAGCAGGATGGATTTTGGTTACATTGTTGAACTGTGAATGTGTTTTCTTGAAAAGACACTGACCAGTTCTTCCAGTTTTAATGCATGTAAGGTAGAATGCATTAAGATTCACTTAAATATTAGACTTTATAAAGTTTCTCAGGGCTTTGACAAGTGGGGCTATGCTTATGAGTTCATGCAAACTGCCTTGTAGAGCAATGATTTGCTTGCAGACAAACGTGTTAAAAGCTATTTTAACGCTGTTTTACTGTGCTTTACAGAAAGACTTAGCAGGATCTAAGTTATTAAGCACAAACTGTATTTAAGATGAATGCCTGTGCATTTTGAGGGAAAACACAGATTATCTGTACTGTACATCCTGTTAAAACTCATTCAGATAATAAACAGTAACTTTAACTCTCTGAGACTGGCTTGTTATCTGCATGTTTGTAACAGCGAGGGACCTTTTTCTTTTAGAGAGTGATGAGCAGTAGGCTGGAAGAAGTGATGAAGTGGTGAACAGTCTTAAAATTCCACACGTGTTCCCTCATCTGTTTTCACAGTGTTGACATCTCCTTAGAAACAGCGACACGGACTTTGCTTGTGTGTTTGTGTCTACGGTGTGTGTGTGTTTCCTGTTTGAGCTTCAGACTTCTAGGTGAGGACTTTTCTTCTGATAAACCATTTTGTGTAGTCCTCAGTTTGCTCGGTTTAGACTTAAGAAGTAGGGCTTGAGTAATATAAAGAGTGGAATTAAAGTGGGAAGGGAAAAGGTCAGAACATTGGCAGATGAAGCAGCAGCAGAAAAAAATCGCACATATCTGATTTATTTTTTCCAGTGTGTCGATATTGCCCAGTGATCTCAGTGGTCCTGTGTGAGATCAGAGGATGTTCTTTATTGTGATAACCTCAACAGAGGCTTGTTAAATGCCATATGCCTGTCAGCTCCAGTGCTCATTCAGCAGGGATATGACTTCACTGAGAGACTGGGCTTGGCTCCTAATAAATAACCACGACACTCATTAAAGATATGAGGAATGCCCTCTTCTGAATTTTGCTTTCAATATCTGGCTCGAACAGTAATTTCAAAGGGTGTGTCTCTTCCTTTACATGACCTCATGTGACCTCTGTGTGCATATCTGAATAATCATATAAGTATTTTTATGTTGCATGTTCAGCATCTCTCACCCTGCAAGCTGTCAAGGAAGCAATTAAAGGGACGGTTCACCCCAAAATCAAAAGAACATATTTTCCTCTTACCTTCATCAGTCTAGATTGTTTTGATGGCACTGGACTCATGGTGTTCAAAGCACCAAAATATAAAAATTAATAAGAAAATACATTTGCAAAATTCAATGGCAGTATCTGTTTCCAGAGATCATGACTCAGTTACTCAAAATAATCCACAGACCTTGTTGTGAGTATTACAAACTATTATATTTCTACCAACCTTACCCACCAACTGAATCTGTATCATTGTGCTCAAGGAGGCGTGCATCCAGTCATGGACGCATAGGTGTAGATTTCAGGGGTGATGCAGGGGGGATGTCCCCCCTCAATAATTAGAACGTGCATTTGTCCCCTCAAGTAAAAACATTAGAGTTTTATTTATTGATGCATATATTGACGCAGAAAAGGCACAAATGCATAAAAATTCACCAGTGTGATGCTCAAAATTTTCTGGTGGAGGACCTCTAAATCCCCCATTTATATGTGTCTCCCCACAACCCAATGTTGAAACCAAACCTACACCCTTGTATGACCAAGAAACTTGTGCTTGTGACAGCGCGAGATGTAAACACTGATGGCATCCTCCTCAACTGAGCTGTAATGTTAGCTAGCAGTGGAAGTACGCTTTCCTCTGTGTGACGACACAGTTGGTAGATGTAGTTCAGTAGGAAGAAAATAGTTCCTACATGAAACTGCTCATAACAAGTTGTTAGGATTGTCTTGAGTAACTGGGTCATGATTTCTGGAAAGAGACATTGCTGTTGAGTTTTTCAAATGTATTTTTTGGCACTTTGAGCACCACAAGCTGAGTGCCATCTAGTCCCATTATATTGGAGAGAAGGCAGACATCTTTACGGCTGATATCTCCAATCCTCGACAACTCACACCAAAACACTCCAGACTGATAAATAGCACTACAGGTAAGAGATAAAATATGTATATTTGATTTTGGTGTGACCTGCCCCTTTAAAATCAGCTACAATTTTGCAGCTCGTATACTCCAGCAACTCCTACTTTCATTTAAACCTGGCATTTGCCTTTCCTGTTTCAATAGATTTATGACACTCTTTATTCATTCAGCATCATAGGGTCCTAAAAAACCTGCTGCAACCCTTTTGGCCAAAACACTGATAAGTCCTCTCACAGTGAAGATGACAATCTTTGATTTATCTCTGCAATAATCCAGAATGCTGAACAAATCAGAAGCTACAGGGTCAATAAATAACGCCAGGCATCTGTCTGATCTGTCCTTGAATGGTGTCAGAAGGAAATTAATACTGGGATGATATTATCTAAATTCAATTTGGCATCATCCTGTCTTCTCAGTCCACTCCCCTGCCTCCCTGTTATTTGTGCCATAAATTAATCTATTTATCACTAAAGTGTGATATTTCTGCATGCTGATAAGCATTTTAAAAATTATACAATACAGTGTGCTAACAATCAGCCTTAAAGAGGAAAAAAAGGGAGTGCTGCACTGGGTTAAAGCTCTATATAGTTAGTTGTAAAGAAAAAAATCAGGTCTTCATGGATGGGGCAAATAGTCACATAAAGATAAAAACAACGACTAGCCTGCTCACTCAGTGTAAAAGTCCATAGTACAGATAGGCAGTCCAAAAATGCATCTGAGGCACTCTGGCTGTAAGGCAAGGCAAGGCAGCTTTATTTGTATAGCATATTTCATACACACAGTGCAGTTCAAAGTGCTTTACAGAGCAATAAAATATAAAACATAATAAAGGATACAGAAAGGAGTAAAGAGAAAAAAGATATGAAAGGTAACATTATTTACTAAATTATTTACAATTAAAAAAAAAACCAATAAAAAATAGCAAAAGTGCAGAAAAGATGTGCAAAGATAAAAAAATTATTCAAAATTATTTTAAATTTTAAAATAAAGTTGCAGTCATTACAGGGTGGAGTAGGCAGTGTAAAAAAGGAATGTTTTTAGCGTTGACTTAAAAGTGGTCAGAGTTTGGGCTTGTCTAACATCATCTGGGAGGTTATTCCAAGTTTGTGCTGCATGATAACAAAACGCTGCATCCCCATGTTTTGTTCTAACTCTCGGGACGGTCAGTATGCCGTCCCAGAAGGTTCATATGTCACAAGCATGTCAGAGATATATTTGGGTGCTGGGCCACAGAGTGATCTATACACAAGCAGCAAGATTGTGAAATCAGTTCTCTGAGTGACAGGTAACCAGTGTAAGGATTTTGGAACTGGAGTAACGTGGTTATATTTCCTAGTTTTTGTCAGGACCCGAGCAGCAGCATTCTGAACAAGCTGAAGTTGCTGAACAGCTTGTTTTCAAAGTCCTACCAACAGACCATTGCATTAATCCAATCTACCGGAAATAAAAGCATGGGTGAGCCTTTCAAGGTCATGCTTTGACATTCCTCTGACTTTAGCAATATTTTTTAAATGTTACTAGGCAGATGACGTTACGCATTTGATGTGGCTGTGGAAATTCAAATCTGAGTCCGGGATAACACCAAAGTTTCTTGCGTGACTCTTAGTTATAAGAGACTAGGATTCAAGGTGAGAGCTGACAGTCTTTCTTTCTGTGCCCCAAAGACAGTTATGTTGGTCTTATCTCAGTTGAGTTGGAGAAAATTTTGACACACTCAATCATTTATTTGCTTGATACAGTGACACAGGCGTTCTATAGGTCCATAATCACGTGGTGAAAGCGATATGTATACATGCATGTCATCTGCATAATTATGGTAGTCTACGTTATTAAATTGTATGATCTGGCCCTAATGGGAGCATATAAAGATTAAACAAGAGGGGTCCCAAAATGGATCCCTGTGGGACCCCACATGCCATGGCCATCTGCTCTGACTTATAGTTACCAGTCGAGACAAAGTACTTCCTGTCATGAAGGTATGACTTGACTGTAGTTAAAAATCCTTTATTAATACATGGATAAACCAACGCATTTCAACTAGAGTGTCTTCATCACAGTGTAAAATGCATTGGAAACAGGTGTGCAATTTAAGAGCTCATGTAGGGGTCATGTGACACAGTTCACATGATATATTGGTGTAGCCCTACTAGACAAAAAACCCCCACATTGACAGAAATTACAAATGAAAATGACATAAATAAAGTAAATGTCTATGTAAAGAAAAATTCTCCTCTTGACAGTTTAAAGGTAAAATTGATTTCCTCTGTACACATTGGCATAAAGTGGCTGTTGTCATGTTTGGAATACTGATGCTAATGTGCTGCGCTGACTGTAAGTCGCAGTGCCTCGCAGCTACATAGCAGGCAGCAGCTGTCACCTCTAACTCATTTCCTATTACAGATAATTGAATGTAATGTGAGTGCAACCCCCCCGAGTCTCCCTTATTCTAATAAGATTTATAACACAATAGCATTAGGATTGTCCATCTAATAGGATGCAAACTGTTAGCTTTGATCAGACATAATGGTGCATCGAGTCTGTGTCAACTGGCTCATGTAGGAAAATTGATCTGTTTACAGAGTACACAGTCAAGGTTACAGCGTCTGAGTTTTATCCTGAAGCTCACATTATCCTCTTGTCATCATCGTGATAGATTTTTCATTTCTGGCTCTCGTGTCGGAGGAACTGGAGGATTTAAGGAAATCACGTTTGTATTGTCTTCAGTGTTTCTCTGTTCTTCCTTCTGTAGTCTAGAACAAATCCCTCCATCTCTGTTCTGTCTCTGGGTGAGGCTAAGCCACTGATAGGCAAATAATGAGGGCTGCTGTCAGGGGGATTTTGGCAGGGTCTTGGGGGGATTGAGGACACCACACTGGGAGGCCCAGAACCTCGGGGATTACTGAGCTCACCCTCTTCCTTGCCAGCTCCCGTGGGACAGGTCACCCCACTGTCCTGGACTCAACTTGTGCCAACACACGGGGAAAAGCTAAATTTGACTTTTCTTGCATGATTTGATTAAATATGCAGCAGCGGGGCTGCAGCGTGAATCAGACTTTAGCTTCCGCTCTGAAGAGTAAATCGTGTCTCTGGCCTTGAGTGCACCACTTCAAGAGCTGGTTAATTAATTCATCATTTGTTATTTTAATGATCATTACCAAAAGAGCTTGCTAACAAGCTGGCTGCTTTGCTTCTATTACTGATGCTCAAATGCCTGCAGGTGCTCACGTACGTTTACTACATACATAGATCAGGTCAGGACCATTCTCCTCATTATTTCCTTGCTAA